TATCAATCCATGGAGTGTAGAATGTTAAGGAGGAGGTTAAATGTCCATATTTCCTGCTCTATAGGAAATATTCTTGAGGTGAAAACAAAATTCCCTATCTTGAGAAGTCTGAAAACAATCATCTAATATTTGGTGGCTATTATTTCCTAAAACCTTATTGAGTCCACTCTATAAATGAGAAATATTGGAGAAGAGGTAAAGACATTTGTTGTTATTCAAAGAGTCTGTTAGAAAATATGTTGAGTGCTCGCTTCAGCAGCACATATACTAAAATTGGAACAATACAGAGAAGATTAGCATAGCCGCTGCCCAAGGATGACGCAAATTCGTGAAGCGTTCCAAAAAAAAAAAAAAGAAAATATGTTGAATATTTTTCATGTGCATTTTGGGACTGTGCACATGTCTGCATGTGTAGACAGACAATGGGCCTATACAGTGATCCTAACAGCTTTCATATAGTTATCATTAATAATTCTTTAGGTAAATTGGCAAGTAACAACCTTGGTTATAGCTGAAGGATAAAGTACAACCAAGTCTGGGCTCACAGATCAGCAGGAAATAGAAGTCACAATGAGGCAGAAGAAAAATAAGTTGTAATCAGATAATAGGGTGTTGAATTTAAGATTTTAGAAGTGGGTGATGACAAAGCTTAGGCTGTGATCAAGAGAGTGAGTGGCTACTGTCAACAAAGAAGAGACTAAGCTGTCACCTCCATGTCATGTCAACCAATAAAATGGAGAGAAAGAGTACTTCAGGTTGAGGAAAGAAAATCTTCCAGATCCTAAGTGTTTCCTTAAGATAAGGAGATTCAGCTAATCACCCTCCCTCCCTCTAATTTCTAACTAACAGAGATGACTAATAATAACAATAACAATAGTTCAGCACTTACTGTGTGTCAGCATTGTTCCAAACACTTTGCCTACGTGCTAATATTCTCAACAATTCTTATGATAGTAACCATTATTGTTCCCATTTTACAGATGGGAAAACTGAGACATGGGCTAAGCAACTTGTCTGATATGACTTATAAATGCTGAGGAGAAGATATGGACAGAGTTGGGGTTAGAGAATATTTTATGAAAGATATCAACAAAAGAAAGTGAACAAAGTCCAGGAAGAGGCCTGCCTATCGATGCGTATTGCCCAACAACAGGAGCCTGGTGAGAAATGAGTCTGAAATAATGTGCTGGAGCCTTACTGAAGAGAGTCTGAAACACCAGTGTTCAGAGTTTGAACCTGGTTTGGGAGGGAGGAGGAAAAGGACATAACCAGAACGACCTTGAGGTGATTAACTTCTGGATACGAAGAAATTAGAGACAGGCTGTCATGACAGGACAGAAGTCAGGGCTCTTTGGCCCTAATTGCATGACAGGTAATGAATGTATGAACGAGGAGGGTGGCCGTTGAAAGTTAAAGGCAGAGACAAGTTTGATATATGGTGCATAAGTCACATGTAAAGTGCTGGTAACTGGTGGGATGCAGAGGGTGAGGGAGAGAGAAGAATTTAAATTGAACCCAAGGTTTCAATCCAAGTGACTGAGTGAAGTGTTGGTGGAAATCCAGGAAAGGCACTTTGTGGAGGCGAGAAGGACAGCATGAGTAGCTGCACTTACAAAATGTGTCATTTGTCATGTGAGGAGGCCATCAGGTGGACGGCCACAGCAGGAAGTTGGAAGCAAACTTGGAGCTTAGTACAGTCTGGACTAGAGATGAAGCTTTTGGTGTTGACTGCGTAATGGGGCTGTGGCAAACTTGGGGAGTAGAGGAAACCTCTGATGGTAGGAAAAGGCACAGAATGGAGACCCTTAGAAAACATCTCACTTTGGGGATAATTAAGAGGAAGAGGAGCCAGCAAAGGAGACAGAGGAGAGTGGTAACAGAAGGGTAGGAATACCTCAAAGTGTGCATCACAGAACACAAGGGAATGGAAAGTTCCAGAAAAAAGCTGACTTAGCAACCCCTCAGACAAGCCAGGAAAAGTAAAGCCACTTTGAGTTGTTGGTTTGAAGGTTATAAGGATCAAGAGCCTCAATGGAAGGATAGGGGGCGGCCTCGGATGGGAAGAACAGGGTAGATCCAGGAAATCAGGCAGCAGGACTGGCCTATGCTTTCAAAATTTGACAGCGAGGAAGAAAGAGAAGGCAGTCACTTGAAATGGTGACACGTGTAAAGGAAAGTGCTTTGTTTTGTTCTTAAGATAAAGGGTACCACTTAAATCTATTTTAGACAGAGATAAAGGAGCCATAGAGAGGTTTGAGTGAAGGTGCGTAGGTACTGCCAGGCAGTAGCAGCAAAAACCTTTTCCAGGGCAGAAATCAGAGCCATGGAAACAGTTCAGAGGTCCCAAACTGTTTTCTAACCTTATCATAAAACAAACCAGAAATCATGGGGCTGCTGTCCCTAACAACTCCCAGGCAGCCTTTCTCTTAGAGAATAAAGGGAGGACTAAGGGAGCTGGCTTTTTTCCTCTTCTGAGGCAATGCGTGAATTTAATCCATGTGTCCCATGGCAGTGGGGAAAAGGAGCCCTCACTGCAGACATCCTTTAAAGAGTAAAATAAGTTCCATCAGGTGTAGGGAGAAGGGGAAAGTTTGATAATGAATTTGGGGTGTGAAATAGTAGGGTTTTCTTTTTGTAAGTACTATTTACAGATTGCATAACGTGTGAATGTTCTATGTGCAGGAGAGGGAAGGGCATTTTTATCCTGGTTTTCAAAAAAGAAATAAATACAGTTACGTACCAATGTAATTCCACTTTCTGTATATGAGGCAAAAGCTTCCTGGGGGGAGGGAGGACTATAAATAGAAAGGTGAAAATATTGATAGTGGTTCAAGAGCCATGGCTGGTTTTGACTGCTGCAGGCTTAAATAGGGCAACTGCTATGAAACATTCATCAAACAATCTGCTCCATTGTCTGATCCTTTCCTGTCAAGGGGATGGGGGGGGGGGGGGGCGGCACTGGATACAGGATGTCAGAAAGGAAAGGGGAAAATAGACAAGGGAGCAAAGAGATAAAGAGAGACTGTTCCCAGGGAATGTCACACCCTCCCCCTTCTGTGGGATGGGCTAGGTACCATATGTGTGTCCTGTGGATTCAGAAATGGTCCCTGGGGCCCCATCACTGTCGCATTGCTGCTGCACAGGCCTCAGACACAGAGGAAAGCGTTGGAGGTTGTTCACGCATCTTCCTCTGGAGACGAAACTGGGCTCAGCAGCAACAAGAGAATTCCAGAGGGGATTCTTCTCTCCTTCGTGCTTGGATAATGGCTGTTCCTGATAACCAGGGAAGAAGGGAAGTGCAGTGCTTGCCTCGCACTGCATTGCACACTCAACCCTGAACAGCTGGGCTGCTCATATAATTTAAAGAGAAGAGAGACCTGGCTGTCCACCAAACTATCTATAATGTATTCATAATAAATCTCTCAATGAGGAGGTGTAAGGAGTTCCTGTTTCCGTGCAGCCAAAGGAAGCAGAATGTTAGGCAAGTATCCAATGAGTCTCATTAACAGAGGCAACCAATATGGAAAATCTAGTTGCTCCACAGTTCTATTAGTAACAGCATTTTTTTTTACCCGAAATATGCTAATAATTTTCTTGCTTGCAAAATTGACTTTGCCTAATGGTTAGTAAATATATTTTTTCTTAATAGTTACTGAGTATTCTCCATGTTCTAGAGACGACATAAAAATTAGGCATTACTTGTCATCTTTTTTTTCCCCCTTTTTCACATTATTTCTGAAAAGCTAGGATAGTAAAGCTATCCCACAATGATACATTTTCAAGAAAATGGAAATAATAAAACATAAAACATTGCGGTTTTGTTAAGTTTCGTATTATATATGAAATGCCTACTCTAAGATTTAGTAAAACGGATAACTGGTGACAATGACCTAGTAGAAATTAAGGCACTTAATTCTAATATGGGGGGTAGTGGTTAAGAACAAGGGTGTTTTCCTTCTTGATTTTCTTTGAGAGGCACAGCTACTTGTGTGGAGTCCCCAGTGTCAGAGCCAGTCACAGAGCTAACCAAATAATGACTGACACTAAATAGAAACCAATGGCAAAATAAAAGGTATTTGTTAAAGATAATCTTCACTTTAGAAATACTTTTTCACTGTTTTTGTAAATGTGCCTATCATAGTCACATATACTTTCTAACAATAGATCATCTCAGTGTCTAGAAGGATGCTTACCCTCCTGTTCTTTAAGGCAGAGGAAGGGAACATGCATTTGATCATTTAATAGCAGTTTTGGCTCATTAAGAGATGAGTTGAAACAGAGGTCATATAACTGACCTGTGTTGAGCCCTTTAAGATGTTTGTCTGATCCGTCAAGTAATCATTCCTACTAACTCAGTTTTACAATAGTAAAATGGTATTTACAAAAGCATAAAAAGAATTCAGGTTTTGGGGTTTTTTTTTAATTCTGACTTTCCTAGAATTTAGATGTCCTACCCCAGCATTATTGAGATGGACAGAGTTTCCATACACTTTGATTCAATGACTGCTTGAATAAAGTGGTTATGCCACCATTAAGCATTCTGCTGTGAGGGACACTCAAGCAGCCTCTAGTTTGTCTCTATTATGAATATTCTTCAGCAAACCTCTTTGTTTTTCCAAAATTAGTTTATTTCCTCAGAATAGCTTTCCTGAAATGAAATTATAGATCAAATGGTATTGACTATTTTAAAGCTCCTCTTTCCAAACATATTTCTAAATAGCTTTCCAAAGGGTATTTATTAATTTTCCTTACACTGACAATATATGATAATTATAGTTTGACTCCAGGCTTAACAAGCTGCTATAATAGTAAGACTACATTACTTTTATTTGTGCTTCTTTTATTCCTAGCAAGCTGGAAATGTTTTGCAAGTACAGTACTCAATTACACGTTTTTGTGTGTATATTTAGCTCTTAATTTTTGTCTGTTTTCTTATCAATGGGCTTATTTTTTCCAGCCCCAGTCTCAGCCGCTTTCCTTACTTTTATTGCTTTGTACAGGCTCTCACGATTCATTCAGCTACTGGGTAGACGAAAAGTCCCCCGTGGGGCCCGACCAAACTCCAGCTGTCAAACGCCTGGCCAGAATCTCCTTGGTGAAGAAGCTAATGAAGAAATGGTCTGTGACTCAGAACCTGACATTCCGAGAGCAGCTAGAAGCCGGGATCCGCTACTTCGACCTGCGTGTGTCCTCCAAGCCAGGGGATGCCGACCAGGAAATCTACTTCATTCATGGGCTTTTTGGCATCAAGGTCTGGGATGGACTGATGGAGATTGACTCCTTTCTCACACAGCACCCCCGAGAGATTGTCTTCCTGGATTTCAACCACTTCTACGCCATGGATGAGGCCCATCACAATCGCCTAGCTCTCCAGATGCAGGAGGCTTTTGGAAACAAGCTGTGCTCAGCCTGCGATGTGGAGAGTCTGACGCTGCAGCTTCTGTGGGAGAAGAAAGGCCAGGTAGGAGAAGCAGAGATGAGCTTCCAAGGGCAAGAGAGGGACTGTTTCTGCCTTTTCTATATCTCCAGCTGGAAGACAGCTCACTCCAGGTCTCCTAGGCTAGACGGCATAGATTGTTTGGAATAGTAAACATACATAGGTTCCTAGGCTCTAGGATAGCTTCAAGCACTGCCCTGGGTGCCCTTGAACTGGGATTAACCCCTGTCCAATATCCAAAACTTGTCTGGCAACCTGTTTGGCATCTAAATTGACTTTGAGTGGCCTAGCCAGAACCAGCCTGAGGCAAAGTGGTAAAATTGGACACGTTGGTCATACCATTTTTCTCCCATAGAGTCCTCCTAGTTTTCACCTTCCTAGCTCCTCTCAGGTATAGTCCTTTCCATCCTGCCTTCAACTCAATGTCAGATATCTGCCAAAATATTGATTGATAAGTGAAAGCATTAGCTGATAAAGGCATCTGAAGTGATTGTCTTGGGTGTGTTAACATTTTAAAAAGCCATCTTCACAGAATTTGGGTCATAGTGGGAGAGAGAGTTAAGAAAGGAAGAGCCCACGGAAGGGGTCCAGGCTGGGAGATTATTCCCCAGGTTGCTTATGCTGAGAAGAATCTCTGACTTCAGATCCATGAGAGACGTCCTCAAAGAAAGGAATTTAAGCCTCAGATACATTCTGCTCTGATGTCCAACGGTGATAGATAGTGGGGGAGAGAGCTCCAGGAAAAGTCAGTTTCCGATTTAGGCTCTAAAAAAGAAAAAAAAGCAAGTACCTTTCATTCATAGTGACTCACTTATTCGTAGAGGCATTAACCAAAGTATCTTAAAGAGGCAGTTATTTTTGAACTTAAAGAAGAGATTTTGACTAAAACTCAAAGATTATTCACTTACAAATATTTATTGAACACCAAGTATGTGCTAAGCACCATTCTAAGTACTTGGGATAAATTAGTATATAAAGCAAAGACCCTTGCCCTAATGGAGCTTTCGTTCAGGCGGAGGGAAATAGAATATGGAAAATAAACACACCAAATACATTTTACATAATGCCAGAAAGTGTTAAAAGCCATGGAAAAATAGCGTCAAGCTTGGTAAGGGGGAGCCAGGATTCTGTGGGTTGGGAAGTTGGTCACAATTTTAAATAGATTGATCAGGGCAGACCTCGTTGAAAGATGACATTCGAGGGAGTTAATCACATGGATATTGACGAAAGAGCGTTCCCAGAAGAGGAAAAAGCCAGTGCAGAGTCTATAGCAGGAGCGTGCCTGACATCTTTGAGGAAAAGCAAGGGGGATTGGGGGGGGGGGGCAGTGCAGCCTGCACAACTAGACTGAAGACAACCACTTGACTTGGAGCTGATGGGTCCTGGAAAAACACACTGTTCCCCAATAACAATTTCATTAAAAGAAAAAAAAAAAAAGCAAGGGGCCTCGGGGCTGGAGAGCAGAGCAGCGGAGGAGGGAGAGAGAATGAGTGATTCCAGGGGCCCTGAGGCACTGTAAGGACTTGGCTTTTATACTGAGTGAGGTGGGCTCTGAGCACAGGGTGCTGGGACCTGACAGGTTTTCACTGGCATCTCTCTGGTTACTAGGAAGAGACCTAGAGTAGGGAGAGTGGAGAAATTAGGGAGACCGGGGAGGGGACTGTTAGTAGGAAGTGGTCAATTTTGAATCCATCAGAGGGAGAACCAACAGGGTTCCAAAATTGTTGGGATTCAGGGTGGGAAAGGAAGTGAGGTTTCAAGGATAACTCCCAGGTTTGGCCTGAGGAACTGAAAACACCAGGTTAAGGTTTTTGACTTCAGAGGCTAATGTGTTAACACTTCGTATCGGTGAAAATTTACCTAAGCTATTTTTCCTCACTAGAATATTTGTAAATGATATTTTGCCAAATATTTATTATGCCTCTTCATCTAAACCTGAATTTATATCCATTCAGACTCACAGGTCTCATTTGGAGAGATTTTTTTCCCCCAATGAAGTCTCTCTCTACAATGTTAAATAGTAATAGCAACAAGAATAACAGCTAACATTTATTGAGCCTTTACAATGTGCTAAGTACATGGATTCATTTACTTAATCCTCTCAACTACACTGTGAGGTCTTTTGTTATTCTCCTCATTTTACAGATGAGAAAACTGAGGCATAGAGTGAGTAGGCATGCTGTCCAGGAGACGACAGTTAGTGAGTTGACAAGGGCCAGGATTCCATCACAGGCCATTTGGTCCCCAGAGTTCTCACAGCTTGTGATGCTCCCAGGGATAGTCCCACATCTTGGTGATTTTCACAACTAGTGTCATAGATTATGCTAATTAAAATAATCTCTCTTTATTCATGAGTCCCTATTGTCAGAGAATCTAGAGGGTTAGCAGAATGGAAGAAAGGGAGGGAGGTCTATAAGAGGGCTTTTGAGTCCTGGGATTCGGGCAAGGTTAAATTTGAGTACAGCCAACTTTATAAACAGATATCTATTATACAGTTTTATAATTTTGCACACAGATAGTAAGTATTCTGGATGGGTTGCCCTATTGCATACTAAGTTGTTTAGAAATCTGCAGGAATAACAGGTATCTTCGAGGATAATGAATGGTGTAGGCAGTGACTTTCTTGCAGCACAGTGCCAATCTATCACAGCTTTTAAATACGAGCTATTCTGTGCCATGCAACTGCAAATACGCTTAAACTTATAAGGAAAGAGAATGTTGATGACGTATCAGAAAAAGAGAGAGTGTCATCAATTTGAATTCTAGGCTCTCCTTGCTCTCTTTCCTTTTCTAACATTTTTCATGCCAAGTCTCTTCTAAAAAGTGGAACAGGAGAGATCTCAAACAGAGCTATCAGTCATCTCCCTGCTGCTGGGGCAGTACCATACTGGAGGTTAAACTTTAAATATTCATTATGTAATGAGCTGCCTTGCTTGTAACCCCTGAGTATTTTATTACTACAATTTAATAGAAACATTTTAGCCACATTTAATTTACTCAACATGCAATTACATCACAGGTCACAGGTATATATTTGTACATTAGTAGTTATGGGTTTTCAGGGTACAATGAATTAGAAAATTTAATCTACATGTTGGCAGTATTTAGAATCTTACTGAGAAGGTAAGAATACATAATGCTAGTAAAATACAAAACAACCGATATACAATTGCAAGGTAAAACTGCCTCAAATGTACTATATGATGAATGGGGTTTTGTAATCAAACAATTAAAAAAGAGTACATAGTATAAATCTATATCCCAGGAGCCTCCAAGAAAGGACTGATCAAAATAAGAGGAGGTCAATGAAGGAATAATTCTCAAAGGAAATGAGATTTTAAATCTGAGTTTCAAGAGAAAAACTGAATGAACATAAATTGCTGAGCTGGAGGGGAGAGTATTTCAGAGAAAAATGCAGCAGAGTGAGGTGGGGCAGCAGATACAAAACACAGGCCGTGGACAAGAGTTTCTGCCCCTAGAATTCAGTAGAATAAAAGTTGGTTTACTAGGCCAACCCCCTACTGTAAAGAGAAATTCTCCATGTAAACTTGAGGATCAGATTGCTCAAGACGGTCTTAAGGAAAGGCATAAAACCCCTTTTGTATAATTTATACTTTTTTGCACCTTTTCCAAGGCAGAGTAAAGAACAGCATCGTCCTCTCATCTCCTCACACTCTGCCCAGGGGCCAGGCAGCGCGGGAAATGGTCAGATGGGCCCTGTCAGAGGCTCACACATTCCCCACCACCACCACCACCCCCCCTAGTCCATTTCACAGGCCAGCTTTCCTCACGTCTGTGTGCTGGAAACCCCAGCCTTCCAAACCAGCCAATTACACCGCCAGCAGGAAATCCTCCCCAATCTCCCAGACAATCTGCTTAGAGTGAGTCTGTCATTAACCTCATTAACACACGTGTTTACCACAGACATCATTAGCAGTCAGTACTCAAAACCATTAAAAACAAGAATGACTATTAGCCTGTTCAGTGCTTCAAGCCTGGCACGCCCCATCTCTAGGCCTCCTGGAGCAGTTGGTCAGGCACCTTAATTAAGAGCTAAAAGCACACTGGAAACTAGACACACATGCGGAGCCCTCCTTGGGTGCCTGGAGTATTATGGTCTGGGCCAGCTATTTGAGGATTGCAGAGCATAAGCACGCCTGCTGGACATTCCTCCAGATAGAGACCACTGGTGCCTGGAGGGGGGAAAATGTATGACTTCCGGAAACCTAAGCAGCAGAGTTCTGAATTGGGACACTCAAAATAGCAATTCCCCATCCCTCAGCTGCCTCTCAGAAACTAATTAATGTTGTAGATGTGGCTTGCTAATTATTTTCAAAATCAGTACCATCCTGAGAGGTCCCTGTGGAGACCCATCACCTCCTGGATGTCTCCCCTGCCTTAAGTGGTATGCTCCTGCTCGCTTCTGCGAAAGGTTATTTCATTCAGAGTCAACATGCACAATTGAAAGTCTATGTACTCCCAAATTCGTTCAATGTGTTGATCTCAACTCCAAGGGCTAACTGTCAATTTTGTGAGTATCTGAGTCATAACTTGTACCTGCAGGGGTTCTCCACCTGGGGGCCAAAGAATTTAAGAAGTCTGTGAATTTGAATGGGAAAAAACTGCATATTTATTCTCACTAGACTTTAACTAAAAATTAATATGCCTAGATTTATGAGTGCAGGCAGGCACACTGAGCAGTATTGGCCCTACCTGTAACTTGGTCCCTATAGAAATCACAGATATTTCCATATCACATTTCAGTTACTGCAGATATCTTGAAATGTCATTTTTATACTCAGCATTAATTCAAAATTATAGAACTTAAACTTAACCACAAAATATTTTTATGTAATGTACTTATGAGCACAGACATTAATTTATTGCAAGTTCAGTTAATATGTTTGTAGCTCTATTTCCATCTCATTGATTTCATGTGTAATCCTGTCTATTTAATTTATGCATTCATTTAAATCATGGTCTGAGAAGGGATTTAGGATTTTGCTATACTTCCAAAGGTGTTCATGACAAAAATAAAGAATCTTCAAGCCAGACATATATAAGTACTTAAATCTTTGCTTATTGATTTTCTAAAAGTATATGTAACAATTCTTGAATTTCCACATGTTTGTATTTGTTTGCCTTTCATCCTCCCAATCAGCGTAAAACCAAGGAGTTAACATTCAGCTCATTCATGAATTGCTCTCCTTTTTTCTGTTTTGAATGTTTCAGGTCCTCATTTTCTATCACTGTCCCTTCTACAAGCAATACCCCTTCTTGTGGCCGGGAAAGAAGATCCCAGCGCCCTGGGCCAATACCACAAGTGTGCACAAACTAATCCTCTTCTTGGAGACCACTCTGAGTGAGCGGGCCTCTCGTGGTGCCTTCCACGTCTCCCAAGCGATTCTCACCCCCAGAGTGAAGACCATCGCCAGAGGCCTGGTTGGCGGCCTCAAGAACACACTGGTTCACAGGTAAGAATTTGCTTCCATCCCACAAGGAAGGATTTTTTTTAAAAAAACAAACAAACAAACAAAAAAACAAAACACATTTATCTCAGTTCTCTTCTGAACAAACAGTAAAACCATATAATTTGAAGATCTAAAATAACAGCAAAACAAAATACCTTATATTTTTAAAAAAACTACATTTGAAGTGGCTTGCATTAACCATGGCCAGAGAATCTCTAAATACTTTGTTAAAATGTACTATTATATTATACCATAAATATGCTCTAAATTTTGACACTAAAGCAAAGCACTTTACACCAACACCAGCCCACTTACTTCCTGCACATGGTCCCATTACGTTCTTGCCCTTGCCACTGGCCCACATACTCACCTAAGAAGAGTCAAGGGAGATGACTGTGCAAGGTTGTAGGAATTTAGAGGTGGCCCTGCAAGAATTTGGGGTGTCCTTCTCCCTCCCATAATGACAACGAGTCCTAAGAAGCAGCTTAGGATGCCACCCACCATGCCATAGCTTCAAATACTTTCTCAGAGCAGAGTCAATTCTGACTGCACAATCAGGTAGGAGAAGCATCAGAAATTGTGTATTAAACAATGTCCTTTTTCCTGGACACCAGTAGATGATAGGTGTCATCAAGAAAAAGAATGCCTTGTAAATATGTGCATGCATGTGTGCATGCCTTTGTCTATGTACGTATACATGTACATGTTTATGTGTATGTATGTTTATGTGTATGTGTATGTCTATGTCTATGTATAAAGGGACTGTTATAACTACAGTTGGATGATAGGGCATCCCTTGCCATCCTTACTGAGAAAGCTAATATGCTTGGGCAACAGGGAATATTTATAAGAACCACTTTGGTTTCTGAGTTCCTGGTGGTGAGCACTGGAGTTCAGATAGTGAAGGGTTTATCCAAAAGCATGTCCTTGTCCACTTGGCTCTAAATTTGGATAGCATGGCTTCAGATAACAGGAGTTCACTTGGCAGGAGTTTAGAAGGAAACCTGAACTTCTCTTTCTCAGTGAGAGCTCCTGGTGATATTGCCATGAACAAAACCAGAAACCCCTTTTTGTGTGGCTCTAATAAGTCTTCACTGAATTACTTGTGCTGAACCTAGAAAAGAGCATTTCATAAACCAGTGCTATATCTCTGAAAAATCCAGAATTATGAACTTTCTTTTTTTATAATACATGTCCATGTATCCATACCATTTTCCTTATGCCTTTGGTAAATTTCTAGATTATCTTTATTTATTTATTTATTTATTTATTTATTTATTTATTTACTTATTTACTTATTTATTTATTTAACAAAGATTGGGTACCTAGGAGGAGCTAAGTCCAAAAATACCAGATAAATAATGTAGTCTCTGCCCTCATGGAACTTACAATCTATCGGGAAAAATAAACACATAGATTTCCAAAAAAAAGTGAAAATCACTATTATAAAATTATAAAAGTCTCTGCAGAGAACTATACTAATAAGGAAGAGGGCATTATTTTAAAATAAGGATAAGTTCTATCTGTGTACTGTATCCTGAATATGCAGGCCCCTCCTGCAAATGATTTCCTTTGATTCTAAAGTTAAGCCAGCCTCTAGGAGGGCACACTGTTGGAGAGCCCATTATCATCCCTGATTCAGATGAGGTTCAGTGACGGAGACCCACATAGCTGGTAAATGCCAATACTATGTCTCAGCTCTGGATGTCTGATTGTTGGACTGTTACCCTTTTCGGTGTTCAGCACTGACACGATATAGCACATTTCAGAGCCCCGTTCCTTCCTGAGCCACTGGTAGCAAGCAGATGTCTCCACGATTGGAAAGACACACAGGTATCTCTACTCCTACGGGTCACAAGAATATTACAGGGATGCATCCTGCATTTCCAGGCCTCCACATCAACTGAAGGGAGAAATTCAGCTTTGGTTAAGCGTTTGTTCCCGAATACCAGCACGGCATGTGGCTGTCCCTTCCTGTGCGCTAATGAACAAGCATAGGAAAGAAGCCGTTGTCCCAGGGCCTTCCCCTGACTGCCAGCACCCGGAAGGTCTGTCCTAACTAAAGCATACATGGGCACTGTCCAACTGCTCCTGGGCACTGGTTATCAGCTTAACCAAGAGAAAAAAAAAAGGTATATTGTCTGACACATTGTAGAGGTGGTTTTCTCAGTAGAGAGTTAACCCCCCTAATCAAGCGCATTTCATACCTGAGATCTTATTCAGCTTGGTTCATCACCCTAAAACGAAGCCATGAGTAGACATTCTGACTGAATTTCTGAGTTTCCCCAGATTCTTAGAAACCTTGTACTCCCATCAAAATCAAATGAAAGTAAGATTTGCCTCAGCCTGAGGACAGAGCAGCCATGGGACTGTAGAAGGGGACACAGATCGAAATCAGAGGCATGAAATTGAAGCCTAACTGGGTCCTTGTGTGGACCAAATTGTGTTCCCTGAAAATTCATATGTTAAAGCCCTAACCCCTAGTACCTAGACTGTAACTATGTTTGGACATAGGACCAATACAGAGGTAATTACGTTAAAATGAGGCCATTAGAATGGACCCTAATCCAACCTGACTGGTGTCCTTATAAGAAGAGGAAATTCGGATACACAGAGAGACACTGGGGGAAGATGTGCACAGAGGAAAGACCACGTGAGGACACAGTGAGAAGGTGCCACCAGCAAGCCAAGGAGAGAGGCCTCACAAGAAACCAGACCTGCCGACACCTTGATCTTGGACTTCTGGACTCCAGAACTGTGAGAAAATAAATTTCTGTTGTTTAAGCCACCCAGTCTGGAATTTTCCTATGGCAACCCTAGCACATTAGTGCAGTCCCTGCAGAACAGAGTGGCCTTTGACAAGTGTGCTAAGTTTTCTCACCAGTTAAATGGGGTTACTAATACCACATAAGATAGAGAGTCTTAACATGAAAAAGCCTACCACAGTCCCTGGCACAAAATAGGCATGTCATCCCTATCTGTAAGGACACCCAGAAACAGTGGAGTGAGCCTCGGCGTCAAAGGGACGCTCCTGGCCTACTCCACGGCCCTTGGGATTTGGTGCCTCATGGTCTGTCTGCAGTATCTGGCTCAGCCCTCTTCACTGATCACTCATCTTCGTAAATGCCAGGAGTGAAGAAAATAAGTGGCTCCTCCTCACAGTGGGTTCTACATTTCCCTTTCTTTGTACGTAATCCTGGTTATTTGATCCTTGCCTTGGGGAAAGTTGACACATGCAACCTGACGCTAACACAGAGCTCTTTGTCACCGGAGACCGCAGGTGCATGCCTTTCCCACATGTCTCTGCTCAGGCTCCAGGGATCCCCAGAGGTTTGGCTCTGGCTGGAGTCCCCTGGAGTTGCCACCAAGCCTTTAATTCTCATTTCCCCGTGGTGACCAGAAGATGGCGCCTGCATTTCGTACTTAAACATTGAACAGCAATTTTTAAAAGCCTTGAGTGGGTCAGTACTGCTGTGGCCTTCGTGTGAACCACTGGGCATTCCAGGTCTCTCTCTCTCCGGGATAAGACTGTATCTGCAGTCCTTCATTCTCAGATCACAACATTTTGCCACCTAGGCCGCAGGATATGACTGACCACTTTAGTAAAGTTTCTTAGCCTCATCCCCCACATATTTCTACCATTTAAGATTCCTTCTCTTGTGCCAAACTCTTATATAGTGCTTACTGGATCCCCAACATGGTTCTAAGCACTTTACATGAATTTATTTAATTCCCCCCAAAATCCATATGAAGTGGATGTTATTATTCCCATTTTACAGGGGGAGAGTCTGAGGCACAGAGAAATTAAATAAGTTGAATAAGGTCAAATTGAGGTTATGTATTCAGGAGTCCCAGTTAAAAACGGAAGTATCTCGGGCCGGCCGAGTGGCGCGTTGGTTAAGAACTGGCTTGGGACGCCAGAGGGCCCCGGTTCAGATCCCACATATGAGGGCCAGTGACACTGCCCTCTGCAGCTGAGATGCTGAACAACAGCTCAACCTGGAGCTGGGTTGCCGGGAGTCGCCGGCGACGGCGTAGGCTGCAGCCCCTGAGGCAGTGGGTTGCCATGGGCTACCGTGTGTAGCCAGCAGCCAGCGTGAGCAGCCAGCAGCCGCAGTGAGCGGCCATCCAGAAGCCGGCGACTGATCTGCCTCACCCAGGAAGAGCGCAATGATGGTGCCAACTTGGGCCAGTGAAGCAACGTCTTCCACAACTAGACTGAAGAACAAAATGACAGCAACTTGTCTATTCCCCTTCCCCCAATTCCCCAGCACTTTCCCATCCCCCAATTCCCCAATAAAAATCTTAAAAAAAAATAAATTAAAAAAATGGAAGTATCTCTGTGATGGTAGTCTATTAAGTCATAATCAGCTATGACATAAAAATGCAAATTGATTTATGAGATGCATTTTAGCCCATGGCCAATTATAGAGTGAAGTAAGAGACCCAGGACTGATAATAATTGTCATGATAAGAGGAAAAGAAAGAGGAGAGGGAAAAATTCTACCAAGGCCTTGATAGGGTTGTCTAGAAGAAGGCTGAGAAGTCAGGATGTATGTTCAAAGAAAGGGCAGCTTCGAAGAAGAAAAGGAAACAAGATGACAACCCAAGAGAGTCTGCCAACGGAAGAGTCTTCTAACAGACCTTTAACCAAAACATAAGCCCTAGTTTGTGGCTTACTTAAAACAGTTTCAACTTATCGAGTATTTAGTGAGCTGTTTTTACCATGGTGCAAAACTATGAGGACACTTCATACCGCCCTCCTCTCTACACCCTCCCCCCATGGCATTTTACCCTTACTACTAATGCAGAAAGTATCACAGAATCGTCATCATTGTTTATGTCACTAAATTGTGAGCTTCTATGCAGAAAACATTCTAGCTATCATCACAGAGAAAAGCACTCAAATTATAAAATGAGACTGTCACTGTGTTTGTGGGACAACTGAGTAAGCAGTGGCCTATTAAGAAGCCACACATGCTGCTGGAACAGCTGTATATCCTTATGGAAAAAGTGGATGCTGAACCCTACTTCACACCATATATAAAAATTTACTTGAGGTGGATCTTAGATCTAAGCATAAAAGCTAAAACCAGAAAGCTTTTAGAAGAAAATACCTTGTGATTGGGAGTAGGTAAAAGTTTCTTAAGTCGGTCACAGAAACCATGAAAGAAAAAATTGATAAGACTCCATCAAAATTAAGAAATTCAACTCACTAAAATATGCCAGTGAAAACATTAATAGGCAAGCTCAGGTGGGGATATAATACCAATAACTATATTTGACAAAAGACTAGCATCCAGAATATATAAACAACTTCTACAACTCAACAATTAAAAGGGAAAGAATGGGTTAAAAAAAAATCAAACAGATACTTCCCAAAGAAGATGCACAAATGTCCAATAAGTACCTGACAAATGGCTCAATGTCATTAGTCATCAGAAAAAAATGCAAATTAAAACACCATGACATCTCTTTACACACCCATTAGAATGGCTAAAAATTAAAAAACTGATAGCATTTTTGGAGAGGATGTGAAGCAGCCAGAATTCTCATACTCTGTTGATGGGAATGTGCAATGGAACGACTCTTTGGGAAAAGATCTGAAAGTTTCTTCTAAAACTAAATGTAAACCAACCACATAATAAAGCTATTTCACTCCTTGGTATTTATCCAAGAGGAATAAAAATAAATGTCCACTAAAAGACCTTTATAAGAATGTCTCTAACAGTTTTATTCATAATATCCAAAAACTGGAAATAACCTGTTTATCCATCAATAGGAAAATGGATAAACAAACTCTAATATATTCATACAATGGAATATTATTCAGTGATTAAAAAAAAAAACAAAGTACTGATGGGTGCAGCAACATGGTTGAATTTTAAAACCATAATGCTGAATGAAAGAACCTAACACACAAGAATATATATTGCATGGCTCTTATGAAGTTCTGGAACAGGCAAATTTAATCTGTAGTACAAAAAAAAAAAAAAACAATATAATTGTTGCCTATGTGAGAAGGAATTTTCTGGGGTGCCGATAATTTTCTATACCTTGATATGGGTATGAGTTATGTGTATACATTTGTCAAAACTCAACTAGTGTACACTTAAGATTTGTGTACTTTAATGGATGTAAACTTTATGTCAAAGAAAAATTGAAAACAAACATGGAACCCTTGTTAATGAATATGCGTTCTGAGGTATTTAGAGGATATGTGTAGATATTTGCAGTTGGAATTTGTCAAAAATATAAGATGTATTGATGGAAGGATAGAGTGATGGATTGATGGATAGATATGTGATAAGCAAGTATAGTAAAATATTACTGGTAGAATCCAGAGGATGGAGATACTGTAAATTTCTTTCGTGCTGCAGTATGTTTGAAAATTTTCATGATAAAAACATTTGTGATAAAAAATTAAAGAACTGATTAATAAGTAGGCTCTTCATATTAGTTTTTCAAGATCCTGTTGCCATGGATCTCTTTGGTGCTCGGGTCCAATCATCTCTTCCAGCACAGAAACGATGACAGCACAGTTCTCTAATAGGATAGCTATCACTTCGTCCCTGAAAGAGATATGAATCTTAAATGGACAAACTTTTGAGGGCTCGTGCTTTTATTGAGATACTTTCGTTACATTAACAGAAATGTTTTATTTCCATTTCTGGAGGAGTCTTTCTAAACTCTACTGTCTGTTTTCTCTTCTCCCCAAATTTTCCTCTGTGTAGGAATCTTCCTGCCATCCTAGACTGGGTAAAAACTCAGAAACCTGGAGCCATGGGTGTCAACATCATCACATCTGACTTCGTGGATCTGGTGGACTTTGCCACGACTGTCATTGAATTGAATGACCTCCTGCAGGAGGATAGAGCTTTGGCTAAATGCTGATTTAATTTTTCATTTAATTGAATGTTGAATTTGTTGATCCAGGCTACCCTTCTGAAGGGTTTTCTGTTAGGATGGCCCTTGGGCAGTGATGGTGAAAACAGAAGAGGAGGGCATTTTTTTTTTCCCTCCTCACAGAGCCATTTGGATAAAATCACAGAGCTTTTAATTGCATTTTTCCCAAATGAGACTTTTGGAAAACTTAAGTCCAAGGGAAGAAAGCGTGTTTCATGTGATGGTCAGGATCTCTTCAGAGGCTTACGATGTTGAATGTAAGATGGAAATGGGTCTCCAAGTTCCATTGGGGTACTGAGTGTCCCCCTAATTGGCCTAGTTCCCTGTTGTCTTCCAGGATGTTGCGTTTGAGTCAGTGAGAAGACTGAACCAGGAAGGCATTCCTGATCAAAAGAATGGCTCATTGCAGATGTAGATTGCCCTGTGGGGTGGCTCTCACATCAACCTAGAGCTTTGAGGGGAGAAAGGAGTGTCAAACACCAGTTCTCTCTAGACATGTTGAATGTCAACACTTCTTCCCTGAGAGAGTAAGACATTTATCACCACGGTATTTCAGCTACAAGCTGTTCTTACATAGCTTGTGCTTGCTACACTGGTCAACTTCATCCTTAGATAAAGAATGCATACTCCCCTTGATGTCAAAAATGTGTTTCCCAGTTTTAAAGCATAGATTCCTTTCTATTTTTGGCCCCCTTCTTAGAAGTGAAAGGAACAATGATGGGAGATCTTTTCGGTGTGGGGCCCAGCAAGAAATAGACATGCATGTGTGTTGCATGCTGGATTTTTTTAATTATTATTATTGATTTAATTGTGTAGCTTTTCCCAAAATGGCTGTCAGGTAAACACCTGCATCATTTTGGCAAAGTCCTCTTTGGAGTGGGATCCTCAAGCAGGATCTTGGAATTGCATTTCATTGTTGTCTGCCCAGAGCTTGGGTCTATGCTATAGGACACAACACTAATAGAAGGTACCTCACCCATGACAGTGTGGAGGCAGACACAGGATCCATGGGAAAGTGCAATGGATTTAAGGAGAATGCTCCAAGTGGGTTTGGAGCCATTCTGTAACTCCTTGAAAACAAGACTACCTCGGAGATATTTAGGATGACTTGTGTGTCATCAAGTGAAAAATACCCAGTATGGGAACACTTCCAGTTTGTGTCTTGATTGTTCTCCTTTCTGCAGGTTCTTTAGAGCCTACCAATCACCACTGCATGAAGGCTTTGAAACTCAAGAGGGGATTTTTTTTTTAATTGATAAGAGGTGCCTATCTATAAAGAGCCCTCTTGTGTTTTTATTTATTTATTCATTTATTTATAGATTAAGCATCTTCAGTGCTTCTTACCTCAAGTGCACTGACAAAGGAGCTTCCTGAACTTTCCCCACCAGGCCAGATGCTGCTGTGGTCTTTGCCCTCAACAGGACCATGCATCTCAGGACTGCGAGTGACCTCTGACTTTGCTGTAAATGCCCTGGCTCTCCATTCACATGGGGAGCAGTGTTCATGTGTGTGTGGTCCCGATCTGAGAAGCCACTCCCAAGCCACGCACTGAGGCAAAAGATAAAATGGGCCATGAAGAACTCTCAGTTCTTGAGGAAGACCCTCCATAAGACAGCTTAAACGAAGGCACTAGAAAGAAAACTGGACACAGGAATGTGTACACTATGATGCTCCTCAGAACTGTCTGAAAATCCCTAAGGATGTATCAGCTTCTGGGTTCTTAAGGAGGAAAGATAAACATGCAATCCTGGATGGATGTTGCACAGATAATGGTTGTTGGACCACCTCCCAGTAGCTTCCCATATCTATTCTTCAGTGTTCATAACTGGATTTGCATGTTGCCTGCAGTGGGAGTTATCCTAGGGGAGCTAATAAAAGCACATGCACTCCCCCTCCCCAACTCTTGGTCTTCCAACCTTTACTCTTCCTAAAGAGACTTAAGCCCTGACCTTTAGCGTCCACAGCTCAAGGAGGTCACAACACAAACGCCTCTGGGAAAATCTGGTTTAACTTTTCATTTTCTTACATTTCAACCCCTCCCTAAAGAGGCTTCCGGGATTTTATTGTCAAACTCTTTAGGGCCTTCTCTGGAAAAGAGTAAGAAAGTGAGTGCCCTCACTTTCTCAATTTTCCTTCAATTCTAATATTAAACTCCAGTGACAAGCTCTGAAACCCCTGGCCTACCCCTCAGGGTTTTATTTGTTGTTATTGTTTCAGTTTGGTCTTATTTTTTAATTCTTGGTTAATTGCTAGGGACTACATTAGTTAAACCCTTCTTTAACCCTTTGTTACTTGGCAAAGAGATAAGGAGGCAAGAGGAGAATTCTTCTTCTCTGTTTTATTGGAGCCTCAGCTTTGACCAGGTGCTCGGTGCTATGAGGCCAGGTGTGTGACAGGTACCCGCACAGGATGCCAGGGACACCCAATGGCTGCTGACTGTTCAGTGAAATGTTTACTTGATTTTCTCCTTTAGTTTTAAAATATGTAATTGCGCTTGGGCCGTACCATTTAAGTGCACCTCAGTGTTTGCATGATAAGAGAAAAGTCGTAGAGCATAACACAAAAAGCACAGAAAACCAGTACCAAGGTCAGATGCATGGAGTCCTGCTCTGCGTGGTGAGTGCCGGTGCTCACTCCATCACGCTGCTGTGGGTTGCCATTCTGGCTTACATCTTGAAATTCTGTGCTGGAGTTCTGGGAGATAGAAGGAGGATTATTTACAATTCACCCTTGATAAACACCCTTGAACTGGCAGAATCTCTGCCTCAAGAAAGACTTGCTCAACATCTTGTAAGAGATGTGTGCATTCTGCTCCTTGACCTAAAGCCAAGCAACAGATGCAGTGATGGGACAGAGGCGAAATAGACTTTAGTTCTATGACTCATTCCATAACTGCCAACAATGAAAATGGTGACCCAACCATATCACTTATTCTCACAGTTCCAGGAACCTTTCAGATCAAACAAGGCTATCATATTTGCTCAGAATTACTTCAAGATCAACTAAAAACCCTACTTGATTGAGCCATACAGGGCTTTAGGATTTGGGGCCATAGTTATTCTGAAAAGTAGACTGAGTTTTTCATGAGCTCCCTGGACCGTTTGCCACCTGGTCACATTTCCATGGCATTGTGGCAAAGGGGACCATCACAGGTTTCAATTAAAGATTAGAGCAGTGTTTAAAGGCTTAAACTTGGAGTCTATTAGAGTTACCACTGTGGTTTCATGGACACAGAAGGTACACTTAGGATTGGAGACAGAGGTCAAGGTAGAATTGATGGAATGATAAATTCTTGAGGATTAAATTTTAAATGAATGGCAGATCTAAAAGGATCATGCCAAAAAATATATTTGTTGTATTAGCCTGTCAAGTAATTTAGTTATTTTCCTTAGTGCTGAGTCCAGACCCCTGAATCCTTGAGAGCAGTTAAGTCACAGTCCAAAAACAGAATTTTACATAAACTCAAAGAAAAGCACAAGATCTGAGCCCAGGTAAGGATCTATCCTTGTTCTTCTTTCATGACCTCATATTCACATCACAAAGTTTACGTTTCTGTTCAAGAAGGTAACGTAGTGGAGGATTCTGGAATTAAATGCAGTTTTGTGTGACAGGATTTTCTATTTCTGTTTTTCTGAATCTGACCATAAGAAAGTGCTCCCCACGGAGACATTACACCCCAGCCAGAAGCTTACCGCAAAGCTAAAAGTGGGGAAACAGAAGAGATGAAGATTGAAATGAAACCACCTGTTTTTCTGGGAAGCAAAAGGGCTACACAAACCCAGACCATCTGACAGTATTAGTTTGTGGCACAGTTGATGTTCTGTAATGTTCTTTATGGGCTAACTGCAGATTTTTACTGTTAGGCTCTGGGAAACAGAACAGGCGAATGAACAGGGCACAGCCACAAGAACCTCCCCCGCCCCTTCACTCCACCCCACCCCCTCCCGTGGCTGAGCAAGGAAGTGACCCTGTGCTAAATCTGCCTTGGTTCTTTCATCTGGAATAAAGATGCCATCTGTCGCTTTAGTGCTGCTTTGCAAACCTTAGTCGCAAACTATCAGGCCCCTAAGGATGAGGTTAAATGCCTTATATTAAGGGGGTGTACAGTTGTGGTAATTCTTCCCTGTGTGGCATGTGTGCAGAAATGCTACTTGGGTTCGTGTCTCAAAGGTGTAGTGCAGGATCTCAGAACTTGTCCAACAGTGGCGCTTTTAGTGATGCCTATAATGAGATGAGCAGGCCTGAAAGAAACTTGCTGACATGTATGTGAGCCGCTGAGAGGTGGATTTTCCCAAATACACAAATAGAAATTCATTAACACCCAAATACTCGAATAGAAGTTGATAACAACTCCAAACTGACAGGAAGTTTGTTTTGTATGGCATAGTACATAGTTGTCCCTCCAAATTCCACTAACTTTCCAGTATACCATGGCCCTCTGCCTCAGAGTGCTTCCTGGCATTTGCCACCATGGCTTTGTTACTCACAAATGTTGCCTTGGATCACACAGGAGTGAACTGCTTGGGTGATAAGTGATTTGGCTGGAAATTTTACCCTTAATTTCAAATGATACTGAACAGCTCTTTACTGCCCCAAGGGAATCCACTATCTCCTTAACCTCTGGCTTCTCCAACTTCCTACTAGAAATAGTGACACTAATGTTACTATATCACCAAATTGGTCCTAACCCACAGGACACAATACACAATTCTACTGAAATAGCATAATCTTAGACATTGTGAAAAGGCTGTAAGGGAACTCTCCCTATTCTTCAATGGATTCTAGTCTTTTCTCCAGCAAAACTTGTTCTTAGCACTTTTCAAATCCATTTCTAAGCCACATAGTTTGGATGAAATGTTTTTCTTCTCTTCACTGGGAATTTAATCCCATAGTCTATTGAGGCAACCCCATCAATAGTCTAGAGGCTTTTTCCACCTCATTCCTTGTCTACTCCTTCACAGGATACCAGTTTCTCCTCTTGTCTCCTGGCCATGCTTTATCATTTGTTGATTACTATTAATCACAGGATGCAGGCAGAACTACAATAAAAGGCACATACATTCAATGATGCGCAAATACACTCTTATCACAGTGGTTTTTGCTCCTTACTCTTCTCAAATGCATTATTCTGCCTCCCTCCCCACTCCCATCCAGTCACTAGAACTATACCTGATTGGAGCCCAGAACTTGGGGCCAGTACTTCATTCAGATAGCAGCTTTGAGCTTTGAGCCCAATGAGAAGCACAGCACTTTGAAAAGTCAAATAGGCCTTTGGTAGCTTTGTACATTCTCAGCTTTACAGTTTTTATTAGTTTATACCACTAATAACACTTCAGTCATGAATCTATAATATCAATATGGGAAATCTTAGTACATATTCTAGAGACAGTGGTACCTTGCTGCTATTATACTTAATAATTTACACCCCAATTAATAAGTATTACATACAGATTGTGTATGCATTATTATATTGTATATGCATATATACATTGTAGATATGCCAACTGTAATACTTAACCTCGCTGATCAGCACTAGAAAATACAGTAGTTCCCCCTTATCCATGGGGGATGCTTGAAACCGCAGGATAGTACTGAACCCTATATATACTGTGTTTTTTCTTATACACGAATACCTTTTCACTTAAAGGAAGCACTTTACAGCTTCGCTTTGGCACATCTGAATTGCCAGCATCACTACTCTTGTGCTGTGGGGCTATTATTAAGGAAAATAAAGACTACTTGAACAAAAGCACTGCGATGCCGCAGCAGTCAGTCTGATAATGTAGAAGGCTACTAAGTGACCAATGGTCTGGGAGCAGATGCAGCATGGAGATGCTGAACAAAGGGCACACCCTGGGCGGGACAGCAGAGATTTCATCACACTTCTCAGAATCATGTGCAATTTAAAACTTATGAAATGTTTATTTCTGGGCTTTACGTTTAATATTTTTAGGCTGCGGTTGACTACAGGTAACTGAAACCACAGAAAGTGACAGCTCAGAAAAGAGAGAACTACTGTACAGATATTGTCATAGTGAAAATAAGTCTTGGTGAATTCAGTTGATACGTGAATCTGAAAATGCTCTATTAGACATTAAATTTTATCCTCTATGCTTGTTTTATATTACAGTGCATGCTGTTTGCTAAAGTAAGTAAATAATAAATTATACCAATTTTAAGGTTAGAATTAAAATTTTGCATATATGTTGCTTGATACTCTGAAATGTATTTTGTGGCACAGTTATCTTATTCATACACATTTCACTTGGCTTTTTTCCCGCTAGGAAATAATTGTTCAAATATCTCTCTCTCCTTTCTTGTAAACTGGATTCATTCAAACTAAAACATTGTAAAGCCAGATTACCTCATTTTGACTGTGAAAAAAGTTCAATAGATTTGATGATATGATGTCTCTTCTTGTATTTGGTTTGAACTACCTAAATAAGCTTAAACCTAATATTATAATAAATATAAAACTTTAGCAGGCACTTCCTCTTTGTTTGTAAGACTATTTGATTATTGGTCCACTTCTAATTTTGTTTTAAAAGTTATAGACTCAACACCAATTAAACACCTTATTATACTATATTGGATGAAGACCCTTTCAGCCATGTCAAGCACATATTGGAATTAGCTGCACATGCCTGCAATCCCCAAGATGAGCTGTGCATGAAAGGTACACACAGCCTGGTCACCCATGCTTGTATAAACGTCATCCTCAGCACTTCATCTGCTTCTACTAGCTTAGGTCAGGTCCTATTGACATCTGTCTTTTCACTTGACTGCTATCTCCAGCCCACATTACTCTGAGTGGCTGCCAAATGCCCGGATATAGAACACTGCAGCGATTACATGTTTGTATGTATAAAGAACAAATAAGAGTGGGTCTACAGTTTCTGCTGGCAAAGAAAAGTCCAATATTTTCCTCATTCCTAATTCTTTGTAATAGAATATCTGAGGTCACTTAACTTCAGCGGATTTCTCTTTTTTGTTCTATCCCCAGCAAAAGTAGTGGGCTGAGGTGAAAGTCCTATGTATGAATTTAGCAGAGATCAGATTAATTCTAAGTAATCATTCATTTCATATAGAACCACTAATTAGAGAAAATTATATTTCTGTTCAAGTTACCATGGCAATTGAAGAACAGTCATAGTCAGAATTTTCTGCCTGAACTTTTAGTTATTGTTTAGCAAATCCACCATATTGTCCTCTGCTTGAGTTTGATAAGCACCACTTTCAGTCATTCCCATTTGGTTTTAATAAAACATAACATGATGCAGATAGCACTGGGTCCAAACATAAGCAAAGCAGGTATAACCTGCATGGAGTAATTGCAAAGATACTACTGTCTCCCTCAATTTCTGAACATACACTTGGGTTGAGACATTGCCTCTATGATAATGGAGCTGTTACATTATGTATGAGCTCTTTAATATCTAATCACAAATGAATTCCTCTTATTACAACTGGGTTATAAGCATGCTATTTAGCACAGAAGCTAAGAACAGGCATTTCAGATATACACGGACCTGGATTTGTATCGCAGCTCTCTCATGCCCTGGCTGTGTGACCTTAGGCAAACTAACATCTCTAAATATAGAATATAGGACTAATAGTGGCCACTCTGATGGGTTATTGAGAAGTCCAAATAAGATAGCATATGGGAAGCATTTAGCACAGAGCTTGGCACATATTAATACTCAAGAGTATTAGTAGTAGGGGTGGGAACTTTGCATCTATAGTCTCCAAATAGCACCCAACACATTCCCTTCAACATGATTGATTGTTAACCATTGTGTTTATTGATGAATGATTTAGCAGGAACTAATTACAGAAATGAGAGAGAAAGCATATAAATTCAGACAGTGAGAGAGACAGTCGCATAATCACTGGACCAAATACACATTGCTTAGAGAGTGGAATTCAAACCGCTGGTGGTATGATGACGTAGATGGAAGATAGCCACATCCTTGAATAGCATTGATATCATTAATCACTAAATCATTCTGATTAGCTTAGTAATGAAACTTCTCTAACCCTTGTTTACCTAGCAAAGACAAAAAAAGGCAATAGTATCCAGCTAACATTTATCATTTTGTTTGTATTGTTTTTATTTTGTGGTTACCATCTCTTTATTGAAGTGATCCTGGGTTTGTCAATAGTGATATAAAATTTCCTTTCAAAATATTTAAGGGGTTTAAAGAGTTCACTGTGAAGAAGCTATGCAAGGGACCTAAGTTTATGATCCTTTGCAGGTTAAAAAAAAAATACAGTTGAGTCCATCGCATACTTTTGCTAAGGAATTGGGTTTGGCTGTGCTCTTTGAACATCCTTAACTAGGTAAGTAAATATATAAATAAACTGCTATTTGTGATAGAAAATCACCTTTTTTTTCATAAGGGAGCTTTCTTCGTATTTCCTGTAGAAGTCCACACACAGATCATGCTCTCTCCGTGTTGTCCTGTGCTACAGTTTAAACCAGGGGGAGGAAGGTGCTAGAGTCACTCAGTCCCATAGACCACTGGGCATATGGAATGCAGAGACCAAACCCCATTTTTTCGCTTGAAAAGTTATTCCTTTTCTGTAAATCCCTGAGACTACGATGCCTGAATGTCCTAGATTTTTGGGATGTGTGTGTGTGTGTGTGTGTGTGTGTGTGTGTGTGTGTATTTGTTGGGTTTTTTTCCAAAGGAAATCTTCTTGCTCAGAAGTATGTTTGTTTGTTTACCCCTCTGCAAAACTGCTCACTATGACCAGAGGAATGTTATTATTTGTAAGACTAGAAACCTTTCCTCCTCAGAGAGGGTCGGAGGTTACAAGGGTGGGACAGTGGCCAAAGCCCATGTGCCTCAAACCTCACCCAGGATGGCCCAGACACAGGCCAGTAAAACAAAAGTACTAGTTAGACCAGGGTGTTTGCACAGCTGGGCAGTGCTTTTGGATAGCAGGGGTGGGGAACGGGGACAGAAGTGTCAGCCTCTGTCCAATAGCATCATGCGATTGAAAGAAGCCTTAGGCAAGCAAATGGCTTGAATCTAGGGAGCCTGGTGTCTAAAGAATAGGATTCATTCTGTGGAGAAAGGCTCAGAGGAACAGAGCTCTTGTTGCAAAAGGAGGTCACTGAAAGTTGTTCCTTGTTTAACCTGAGTACTTCTCTGCTTTTTGGCCAAAAGACTTTCCTGACCTGGTGGATGCCCAATCCGGGCTCAGGGAGTCTCATTTCTAGGCCTCTGTGAAGGATAAGGGGATCTGGAAGAAGATGATGGATTGTCTTTTGCAAAGGTTTCTCCCACCAACAATGTTTTAGGCACAGAACTAATTTGTCACACATCAGAGGACTTGGTGGACAATTTCAGTGGAGCCAGACACCCTGAAATGACACACAAAATTTTAGATGTATGTACAGTTTTTTCTGGTAGGGAATCTATAGCTTTCATCAGATTCCTAAAGGAATCTATGATCCTAAAAAGTTGCAAAACCACTGCCATTCAAGTGCCCATGAGAACGAATGATCAATGAAATGATGGTAAGTGAGCAAAGGTAGTGGATTTAGGCCAGTACTAGAAAGCCTTGTTTCTTTCTGTTAAAAAAAATAATAATAGTAAATTAACACTCATGTGAATTTATTGACTATAGGTGTTCTCTTTTAGGAGTCAAGATTGGCTAGAACAAGATAAAAAGAAACAGAATAAGCAAATCCAAAGGATCCTCAGCGATAGTTAGATGAACTTTAGAGAGAGAGTGGTGGGAAAGCCAGAGAAACCAGGCACACTGATAAACACGGAGGGATGGCTGAGCCCTCTGCACAGGTGTGAGCACACATTTCAGAGGGAAATGGGTACAGTAGAGCCTTCCCAGAGAATGGCAACCAGGAGACTGAAGCGTCCAAAAGTTATGTCACATGAGAAACTAGTAATGTTGAGTTTGGAAAAGATTTGAGAGAAAAGTGACAGGAGTATCTTTAGATATTTTCAAATTGTTACATGACTGAGATTTTAGAATTTTATGATTTTGGATATGAAAGGGACCTAAAAACATTTGGCCAGGCACTAATGTCATAAGAAAAAAAAAACTGGTAGACTGACAGCATAAATCAAAGCTGGGACTAGAATCTGGACTTTTGAGTCCTTTCCCAGTGTCCTTTCCTGTAATTTCCAAATACCTCCCTGATTGCCTGCTATGCAGGAAACAGCGAGGACCCACCAGTTGCCATTTCAAGAAGAGAGAGCTTGGCTTAGTAAAGAGCATTCCTCTTCATCGGCATTACCTTTCAAGTCTGGAGTCAGAAGTCTAACCTGGGCCAGCAGACCTGTGTTCCTTCTGGAGTCTCTAGGAGAAAATCCATTTCCTTGCCTTCTCAGCTTCTAGAAGCCACCTTGCTTGGCTCATGGCCCTTTTCTCCATCTTCAAAACCAGTGACATGGCACCTCTGGCTCTGCTTCTGTCAACACATCTCCTACTTTGAGTCTGACCTCTTTAGAGGACCCTTAGGATACAGTGGGCCCACCTGGATACTCCAGGATAATCTCCCATCTCAAAATCTTTAAACTTGATCACATCTGCAAGTCCCTCTTAGCATGTAAGGTGACATATTCACAGATTCTGGAGATTAGGACATGGACATCTGTGGGGGCTTTTATTCAGCCTACCACAGCATGAGTCATGGAAATTGTATTGACACTGGTGCTGGTTTTAGAGCAGACTTGTTACATGATCATTATCTCTTTGAGCCTCCGTTCCCTCACCCATAAAATGGGCATAAAATCTCAAGGTTATTATGAAGAATTGTGGTAACGTATATAAAATGCCTAACATATATAGTGCACTTTCAATCAGTGGCAACTCTATTTGTTCAAGGAACTTCCAGATAATTCTTACTAGACAAGAATTCAATAAAGGAAATTCCATTATTAAAAGAGATATTGGATAAAGTGAACTCCAAATTCCCTTCTGAGATTGCTAAAATAAAAAAGAGTGAAATAAAAGGGGTTTTCCTCTTGTATCTCCTTGTCTACTTCACCGATCCAATTGCAAGTAATTGCTTTTCTGGATTGTCAGTAGCTAACAGACCCTGCTTTTTGCCCCCCTACAGTACTGCTGTCTATTTTTGTCACCAAAATCTCTGGTCAGGTTTGAGCAGGGCTACGAGCCTGCCTGGTGTGTAATGATTGGCCAGACCAGGCAGCTGAGGCCAGCACAGTCTCCCTCCTTCACATCTGTCAACATACCTGGCTGCAAGCAAGTTACTGCCCGTGACCACAATCTGCCAGGGCCAGAGAGAGAGCAGGGGAAAAAACGGAAGGGAACACCTCAACTGCCTGCTTGGGAAAACGTAAAAGCCTTTGTGGACGCTTCTTCCCAACATCTTAAACCCTTCATTAAGGATTCGAACAGTCCTGGGCTATCACTGCTGAGTCAGGAAGGAAGCTGAGGAGGGACTCTAAATTGAATTCAGCAATCAAGGTAGGTGATCTGTCTGGTCACGGACCCTTCTCTCGAGATTACAGGACAAGCGTGTTGCCCAGACGTGTAGCCAGAGCGTCTGATGATGGTCTACTGAAGGAGATACGGTAGACATGGGTGTGTTTTGAGAGAATTCAATCATTTGTCCACCAACATATTCTGAAAGTAGGCCATATTTTTCCTCCATCTTCTCTCTTCTTTGAAAAAAATGTTGTTGTTCCTCTACATATTTCAAAAGTTTGGAAAGTTTTTCATTGCTCATTATAAAAAAATCATATTTGTGATTTATTGACATTTTTCCATCCGTCGTGGTTCCGCAAACATGGCTTTGTTCCAGAATTCTTTCCACTTTCAAGATATACCAGAGAGGACAGTTTACATATAATTCTGAGGAACATGCTGTCCCTGCAGATGGCTGTCAACCTCAAATGACAGAATCCCAGGATGCCATATGCATTTTTTGGCTTTGGGACCTAGGGAGTTAAAATTCTTGAAATTGCTGGAGCAGAATCAAGCCTGTTTACCTAAGCTTATAACCCCGGGCAGCCAGGTCAATCATTTACTGACAGGGTTATTTCCTATCTTTGATGGAGGACCACTAAAGCCCTTGCCTAACTGAGTCTCTCTATAATATAGTCACAAGGCAATGTCAAAGATAACCCATCTCTGAAGCTATAGCCCATATACTCTTCTGACCAGAGTAGTTTTTAGCTTACCTGGAGTAGTAAATGCCACAGGGCCCTTCCCAGTGCCGTAATAAACACACATGAACAAGTTTCATGCACAAATGGGACACCTGATATCACCTCAGGCATAGAGCTTGTGGCTTTGGAGAAGCTTCCGCTACTGCTGGAGACCTATAGGGAAGAAATAGACTAACTATAGAACAAGTTCTTAAGTGATTTTTGAGAAGGAATGAGATTATTAAGGATTCATCAAAAGACGTAATCTTTCCCCTTAAAGTCTACACATTCTAGAAATATGTTATTTTTAATGAACACGATCTACTCTTCTTTAGGTCTGAATATAACTCCTTTAGAAATGTTGTCATATTGTCACCACATACACTTGTCAGGCCTGTGCAATGGTTCCCGACTCTTGTAATTATTAGAAGCCTGGTGATAAGGAGGCCCTATTTTTCTGAACACCCTTTAGGGAAAGGTTGGCCATGTATTAAACTAGGTAATGTTTGACACCATTTTCGTCAATGATTTACGGAACTGAAGTGAATCCCCTTTGGTAAGGTTTGTGGCCAGAATTTTTAGCTGGCTTAGGCAGTTAACTAGATGCGGGAGTTGAGGCCATCACAGAGTATGTCTCAGGCACAAACCCCTTGTGAAATTTGTGGCATGTCTGTGGCTAACTCCCAGGAATGTGGTGGAGAATTATGGAAAACTGATAGATTTCTGTGAAGATAGTAAGCCCTGTCTGACCAGTTTCCAGAGAATGTACATAATACAAGTGGTGGAGGTAATTTTGAAGAGGGGGAAGTGTACCAAGGCATTCAAATGTATTGGCCAGATTTTCCCACAATATTGTAGGCTGCCTTAGGGGCAGACACTCAAGTCTGACCTGAAGTACAACATCTGGTTCAAAGCCAAACCACTGGTGGCCCCTGAGAGTATATCCAGTTTTTCTTCCCATTTCATGCAAATTGGATATTAAATGGAAGGCAGGAGAAGAGATTATTCTTGAGATTGACTAGACTAGATAGACATGATTATTTCTTTTACATGTTAGGAAGTTGGAACCCAGAAGTACATTAATTTGCCCAAGTTCACGGAGTTAGAGGCTGAGCCAAGATTCTACTCAGCTCTGCCTCACTCCCAGCCAACTGCTTTTGCCATGCAGCCATGGAGCAAGCACATGCAGGAGCATAAAAAGGGGGTGAGGAGTGTATCAGAGGGGAAAGCAAGGCTGACTACGAAGACAGAAGTTCTCCACTGCTCCTTGGATGTGCCATACCCAGGCTAATTGGGTGCCACCATAACCAAAAGGCCAGCACTGGACTAGACTTGATCTTCTTTGAGAGGGGGTAAAGGGAAGAACAGGTAGGAAACAAAGGGGAGCATCCAACTAGCGACAGTCACTGGAGTCTTCCTAAGTAATTGTGACTGTTTCCTAAGTAAACCCAAGCAATTCTCAGGCTAGATCTCTGCTTTTTTGTATTCCAGAGACTCAAATCCTTGAGCCCCAATTACAGTACAGCATCAGAACTATTTCCGGGGAGGGGGGGGATGACATCATCCCAACCCTTATCTGGGAATTCAAGAGTTTAATTACGATCTCATTTCACCTTAGCTAATATCCACTCATCTAAATCCAAGGGATTTGAGCAGAAGAAGGTTTAAAGAAAGAGGAACCATCAACATTCTATCATATCAAGGTTTCTAGCACCTGCAACCTAAACAAGCCCATGTTAGCTTAGCATTCCAACATCTCGATGGTGTTATTTAAGAGGTGAATGAGTAACGTACAGAAGCAAGCCTTCTTCTCTCTCCCCACCCCCAGCTTCACTTTTGTTCGGATGAAACCTAAAAATTCCATTAGCTGCCTGGCCGAAATTTCAAAGCAGCCACAATTCCTGAGCATTTACAAAATCAAGATAAAGAAATGCCATCGTGAAATGTGGTTGGCTAAATATCTTTGAACAAAGAGTTTCTCTTTTTCACCGACCCGCCTCATACATACCTAAGAGTATGATAGCAAAGGCATCACAAATAGGGATTACATCACCACGTTCACTGAGGCCCCTTTTCTAATACAGCTGACCCTGCCTGAAACACGCTATCCTTTTTGTTGCCTAAAACATTAGGATAAAAAGAAAAACAAAATGAAACTGAAATATAAGGACTCATAACAACATTTCATTCACCTTTATCCAGTTCTTATTATGACCAGGGAATGAGCTACTGTCTTTTTATCTACATTTTTTTCCCTTTAATTCCTAGAACAAATTTATGTAACTTGCCCAAATTTCAGAGCTAGTAAAATGAGATGAAATTTGAGTTGGGTTATGTTGGACTCTAACGCCCATGTCCTTTAACACTTCCTTCTGGGAAAAATGACCAACCAACAGTATCTATACTGTTTGCATTCTAAGTATACAAAGGAAGAACTCCTTTCAAAGTTATTTGCTTGGAACCTCAGAGTATATATGTATTACCCCCTCCCTGGTATTCTTGATCCTGTACAGGCATAAAACTCAATATTACCGTGACTTTCTTGTAGGTGACTTTCTCCAGGAAAGTAGCCACAAAACACATATTCACATATGTACACACACACACACACACACACACACACACACACACACACACACACAGAGTAACAATTACCCTCAGGTCAGCATTTTGATTCCTTTCTGAAGCTGTGAGAAAAAATTGTTCTTATCTCCTGGTTCACAAACATTGTTGTGTTTGTTTATTTGATTTTAATGTAACATATAAACAAAATTTTATATATCATACCAGAATATTTTTTAAAGATTTTTAATAAAATATAGCTAACATACAATATTATATTAGTTTCAGGTGTACACAATAGTTATTCAACATTTATATACCTAAAGAAGTGATCACCATAAGTCCAGCAACCATCTGACACCATACTATGCTATCACAATATCATTGACTATATTCCCCATGCTGTACATTACGTCCCCATGACTTATTTGTTTTATACCTTGACATTTGAATCTCTTATTCCCCTTCACTTTTCTCCCTTTTTTAATTTTTCAATTACAGTTGACATTCAATATTATTTTATATTAATTTCAGGTGTACAGCATAGTGGTTATAGACATTTAAATAATTTAAGCAGTGATTCTCTGACTAGTCCAGTACCCACCTGGCACTATATGTAGTTATTACCATATTATTGACTATATTCCCTATGCTTTACTTTACATCCCCATGACAATTTTGTAACTACCAATTTGCACTTCTTAATGCCTTCACCTTTTCCACCCTGTCCCCAACCCCCATCCCATCTACCCCTCCAATAAATCCATACCCGTCTGACACCACACATAGTTATTACAATATTATTGACTATATTTCTTATGCTATACCCTACATCCCCATGACTTCTTTGTAACAACAAATCTATTTCTTAATCACTTCCCTTTTTTCACCCATTCCCAATCCCCTCTCCCATCTGGCAATCATCAAAATGTTCTCTTATCTATGAGTTTGTTTCTGTTTTGTTTGTTTGTTTGTTTTGTTCTTTAGATTCTACATATAAGCAAATCACATTGCACCTGTCTTTCTCTGTCTGACATAACTCCACTCAGAACAATACCCTCCAGGTGCATTCACGCTGCCACAGAGGGTAAGAAACCATTCCCTTTCCTGGCTGAGCAATATTCCATTGTATATATGTACCATCTCCTCTTTATCCATTCTCCCATCGACAGACATCCAGGCTGCCTCTACATCTTGGCCATTGTAAACAATGCTGCAATAAACATATGGATGCACACATCACCTCAAAGTAGCGTTTTGAGCTTCTTTTGATAATTACCCGAAGTGGGATTACTGGGTCCTTCTTTGTCAGTGTTATATCCTTTGTTTTAAGGTCTGTTTTGTCTGGTATAAGTATTGCTACTCCAGCTTTTTTGTTTGTTCACTTGTTTCCATTTTCATGAAATATCTTTTTCCCATTCTTTACTTTCATGCTGTGTGTATCTTCCGATATGCAGGTAGCATATGTAAGGGTCTTGTTCCTTTATCCATTCAGCCACCCTGTCGTCTGATTGAAGCATTTCATCCATTTACATTGAAAGTAATTGTTGATAGATATGTACTTATTGCCATTTTATTATTCATATTTTTTACTTTTTTTTTTTTTCTTGAAGAAGTCTTTGTAACATTCCTTGTAATGCTGATTTGGTGGTGAAGAACTCCTTTAGCTTTTCCTTGTCTGGGAAGCCCTTTTTCTGTCCTTCAATTCTAAATGACAGCTTTGCTGGGTAGAGTAATCTTGGTAGTAGGTCCTTT